CAGGTGCTGACAAATATCCTCTAGGGACGCCGGTCCACTTCCTGGCTCTGTCATGGCCGCAAGGTACTGTTATGATCCGCCAGGTGGTGCCTCAGGCTGCCAACTGACAGACCTACTCAGAGCGTGGGGTCTAAGCCCGGGCTGTGCTTTCACCAGAGCCCCTGATGGTGGGGATGGACTTGAAACAGTCCCGGGCCAGGTCACGACCTCGAGCAGGCCCGCCAGTGGCTGAGGAGACCCTTGGGGACAGGTACCGGGAGAGCCAGATATGAAGAGGATGGCGGCCCCAGCAGGGTAGTAACGGATCGTGGCCCGTGAGGGTAAGCGGGGTACAGAATCGGTAGGCGAGAGTAGTCGGGTCACACGCAGGGTCAGCAGGGAAGTCAATCCGTAGAATGGTCAGGGCAATCCGGGTCAAACGCAGGAGCAGGCAGAATAGTCAGGACAATCCGGGTCAAACGCAGGAGCAGGCAGAGTAGTCAGGACAATCCGGGTCAAACGCAGGAGCAGGCAGAATAGTCAGGGTCAATCAGGGTCACAGGATAGGTGCAGGAACTCAGGATCACAGAAGACCTTGCGGCAATCTGTGACAGTGCAGGGCATCTTTAAATAGTGCGCCCTGCACTGTCATTGGCCGGCTAGGACGCGCCCCCGGCTGTCATTGGACGCCTGAGGCGCGCCCACGGCTCCTACTGCGCATGCGCGGCGTCCTGTCAGCCGCGGCTCGCCGGGACCTAGTGCCCGTGTCCCGGCGCAATCCGCCGCCACTGCGCATGCGCGAGGGACGGAGCCGCGATCGCGGACCCTGGAGCCGTGGTCCCTGACACTGTCCCGATATCCATCCCTCCTTCATTCTTTTCCACTATGAGATCTGCCCTTTTCTGATATATCTCTCCGAGTTATACTATACTGACATGCAGAAAACTGGATAGAGGCTTGGGCCTACCTCATCAAGAATTCTACCATAAAGCGGCCCTTCCAGTTCATATGGTCGATTGGGTCTTTCATGATTTGGATAAACACTGGGTAACCATTGTCTCCCTGATAGTGCTTCCTTGAGTGCTCCCATCCAAGCGACCCCACGATCTTACCCTACCATTTTGCCTCCCATTACTTCTTCACTTCTGGCATTCCTTGGTTAGAGGCATCTCTCCACACACATAGGCTCCCCTGACCCAATCTTAGGCAACCACAACACTGCCCCTAGCTACATCACCAACCTCATCCACAGATACCGCCCAAATCGCCCACTCCGCTCCTCCCATGATATCCTCCTCTCTAGCTCCCTCATTACCTCCTCCCACGCTCGCCTCCAGGACTTCTCCAGAGCCTCTCCTATCCTCTGGAACTCCCTACCACAGCATGTTCGGTCAGCCCCCACCCTGTCTGCCTTTAGGCGATCTTTGAAAACTCAATTCTTCAGGGAAGCCTACCCCACCTCCACCTAAGAACTGTACTTGAATCACCTCCACCATATCATCCCCTGCAGCTACCACCTTTTGTATCACCTCCCCCTTCCTTTAGATTGTAAGCTCCACGAGCAGGGCCCTCCTATTCCTTCTGTACTGAAATGTATTGTAATTGTACTGTCTCTCTTATATTGTAAAGTGCTGCACAAACTGTTGGCGCTATATAAATCCTGTATAATAATAATAATGTTTGCCCCAGGAATAGTAAATCCAGCCTTTCTTGGCTGGACTTGGGATAAGCTGTCACCCATTTGTTCAGCCCTACCCCGTAATAAACTTCAACTGCTAACCGCATTAACAACAATTAACACTGGTGGCAATACTTTCAATTACCTGACTTTGTCACTTCTCTCTCCTGCATAGCCATCCTTAACATAGTTCTGACCCCTTTGAGCATCTTTGTCTGCAGAGTGAACAACCCACCCACCTTATCACACAGATATATGCCATTCTCTTAAATGTGTCACAATTGAGGTCCCCATATTACATCAGGGAACGGGAAAAGGAGTTGAAGTTCAAATTCTCAGGTGGCAACCTCGTTAAGATCTTCACACTCATGCACAAATCCTGTATCTCCTCAGCAGTACAAGAAAAAAGCTACAAAATACTTACGTGGTGGTATGATTGTGCAATGCTGCTTCACAAAATGCACAAAACGATTCTGCTGAACTGCTGGAGATGTGATCACCTATGGGGAACCATGCCTCACATTTGGTGGAAATAAAAGTCCATACACATTTTTCGTATATATGTTGCAGACTGCCATATCCCATTTTCCCCCTCAATTGATCTCCTCTATGCACTTCCAAGCTCCATATCCTCAACTGTACCAGGCTTTTTTCTATAATGTCTCTCTACTTCCTCCTCTTCTCTTTTCCTCCATCTTCTTTTTTTGCTCTTCTCTCCCTGGCATCATGAGGATAGGCCCAAATTTTGTGCTCTGCCGATACCGCCCTCTCTTTTTCTTTTTTTGGCTTTTTTTTGGGCTACATTGGTCACTTATGAACTCTCCATCCTAAAGCTATTCCCACACTATTGAGTGAGGATGGCCCTATGGCTTACACCTGCTAGTCGCTAGTCATTGCCCATTATCCTAGGCCTCCATAAAGACCTCTATGACACACCTGCTGAAAGAAACTGCTTGAGTTTTTGTTTACTCATATTCCCCGTGTTGGGGTTTAATTGATGGATGTGTCTTATTTTCATTTGGTGGTTTTTGTTTTTTTTGTGCACTCCCATTTTCATGTAGTTTGTCTATGTATACTCTTTTTTTCTTAATGATATTGAGCCATTTCCGATCGCAGTTCAGAAATGATATTTTCATTTATGTGTTCTTTGGTGGTGCCTCATTGAGGTTTTTGTTTCTGTACACTCTCTATGTGTATACCTGAAATTCAATAAACCTTTATTCTTTAAAAAAAAAAAAAAAAAAAAAAGAGAAAACCAATAGCTGATGACAGGTACAAAAGTAAATCAACCTAGAGGTTAGCAAAGGTTAGCTTATCTTATTTAAGTGCAGTCAGATGTCGGAGCTGTCAGACAGTGGAAACCTTGGTCAGGTGCTGAGATCTTTTCTTTTTTTTTTGCTTCAGCAGCGGTGGCATTCATAGTAATTGATGTTGGTTCTACTTTGGGGGACAATTTTTTTACATTTGTTAATAAAGGACTTGACAAAAACTGTTGTGTTTTTATTTCACTTTTTAGGTAAATGAGTATACTCATTTATATGGGGGGGGGCGGGATCTGGGGATCCCCTTGTTAAAAGGAACTTCCAGATTCTGATAAATCACCCCCTGTAGACCCCCACAACCACGGGTTGTGGGGAAGAAGCCCTTGTCCTCATCAACATGGTGACAAGGTGCTTGGGTGGTGGCCCCCTACCCAAAGCCCCCCCCTTTGTTGAAGGCATATGGCATATTATGGTTTGGGGGTGCTTGTTCGGTTCTCCCCTCTCCCCCTTTCCTGGCCTGCAGGGCTGCATGCTCAGATAAGGGTCTGGTATGGGTTTTGGAGGGAACCCCACACCTTTTTTTGGCATGGGGTTCCCCTCCTTTACCACTTGCCTTCCAGAGGACTCCACTTCCTGACCAGGCCATTGTTTCTAATACATTGCATTACTTTAACTGACAATTGCACAGTCATGCAAAGCTGTACATAAATTAAATGTATGTCCTTTTTTTCCCACAAATAGAGCTTTCTTTTGGTGGTATTTGATCACCTCTGTGTTTTTTATTTTTTCCACTATAAATAAAAAAAGACAGACAATTTTGAAAAAACAGTATTTTTGATTTCTGCTATAAAACATTTCCAATGAAAAAATTTAAAAATTTAATTTCTTCATAAATGTAGGCCAAAATATATTCTGCTACATGTCTTTGCTAAAAAAAAATCCCAATACATGTAAATTAATTGGTTTACGTGAAAGTTGTAGCGTCTACAAATGGTGGTATTATTTTTTTTATATACTAGTAATGGTGATGATTAGTGACTTATAGAGGGACTGTGGTGGTGGGCATTCTGACACTGGGTGGGAACTGACTAACAGTCACTTACATCCCCAATGACACTAATACAGTTATCAGTGCTAATAAAAAGCACTGACACTGTACTAATGACATCTGGCAGGAAGGGGTTAACATCTGGGGCGATCAAAGGGTTAACTGTGTGCTGTGTGTGTTTTACTGTGTTGTGTTTTACTAGGGAGCATGTCCATGCTGACAGAAGAGGGACCTGTGTTGTTTACACACAGGTCTCTCCCCGGTCAGCTTTCCTTGACGATCCCCGAGGGACCTGGTGATTGACATCTCTAGCCGCCAATAACGGCGCGGGTAGGGAAGCGCGTGCCCCCTACCTGGAAATGCAAATCACGTATATATACATGATTTTGCGCAGGCCTGCAGCACTGTAGCAGTACTTCTGCTATAGGGTGGAGAGCAGGTGGTTAAAATCCATACCAGACCCGAAGGGCCTGGTATAGATTGAGGGGAGGTCCCCATGGTGGTTTCTTTCACAGTTTTTTGTTTGTTTGTTTTGTTAATTGCCGGCAATAGGTTTGTTTATATTCAGCTCGCTGACAGCTGATAACTCATCGGTTGTTAAGGATGCATGTTGTTTACTGGTAGTTAAGGACGCAGGTGGCAGCCCACTCATTAACCACTTCCCGTCCGCCCTATAATAGAATAACTGCTACAGGGTGGCACGGGTGCACAAAATCACGTGTATATACATGATTTTGCAGTTCCGGGTTGGGGGGCACGCGTATACGGCTGTGGCTGTCAATCACCGTGTCCTGGCTGGTGATTACTCACTGGCGCCTGGTGATTGCCAAGTATCTCCGATGCGGGGTAGAACTGTTTGTTTGCTGTGCACAGCCATGCAAAACAGTGTGCATACAGTGAAGAACACACACACAGCCCCATAATAAAACACACACAGCACACAGTTAACCCTTTGATCGCCCCTCATGTTAACCCCTTCCTGCTCAGTGCCATTAGTACAGTGTCAGTGCTTTTTATTAGCACTAATCAATATATAAGTCAGTTCCCCCCAGTGTCAGAATGCATGCCGCAGTCCCGCTATAAGTTGCTGAAAAATAAACTAGTAAAAATAAAAAAAAAAAAAAAAAAAATCCAAGTATATATACCGCCATTTGTAAACTCTTTAACTTTCAATTAACCTCCTCAGCAGTCTGATTATGTCCATATTTCTGTGCTCATAGCGTTATATTTTTTTGCATGGAAATATGTATTTTTTTTTTTTTGCAGGCCTGTAATTTTTAGCAATAACTCACTGAAATCTGTCCGAACAAGAGTCTAGTAAACATCCCGGGTATGTTAAAATTTGAAACACGAAATCATAAATTATAATTTAATAAATAATCATAAAAAATAATAATAATATAATAATAATACATTTAATTCAATAATATAATCAAACCAAAAACACTGAAATTTGAAATATAGCGCCAAGTTCGCACATCACTGAGCAAAGTCTTAAAATCGTTTTCAGTGTCTGATGACAAATTTCCCCACAAATCATTATCACTCAATTCTGCAAGTAGTTCTAATTTGCTATCGCTGTTCTCTAGCTGGTCTAAAACCGATGTTGACCTAAAGGGATGCTTTTTGGACGCCATGGATATTTCTCAGTTTCCAGGCAATAAGAACAGTAAAAATGCAGGCAGGGCACAGGACAAAGCACTAGGGACAAAATGTATGTGAAATGGTTTGATACAGTAATGTTTTACTATGTGATTTTAGTGAATTTAGTGAATGTCACTTTTTGTCATTTTCAAATTTCCCACCGTTCCGTCCCCGTACGTCCCGACGTCACAGGGGACGGAACCCAGAAGACAGATGCCGGCATCCGCCAGAGGACATTACAGGGGACACTGCAGGAGGGACATCGCGGGAGTGCAGGGCAAGGTAAGCGAAGAAGGGATCCCGGAGCAGCGCCGCATGGTAAGCCCGAGTGTAGCCCGCTTGTGGTACTGAAACTTTACCCCGAGCTACACTCGGGAATACCGCCAGGGAGGCTACACCAATTAGTTTATACGTATTGGAATTTTTTTTTTAGCAAAGACATGTAACAGAATACATTTTGACTTAAATTTATGATGAAATTAGATTTTTTACATTTTTTTACTGGACATATTTAATAGCAAAAAGTCACAAATATAGTCCTTTTTTTTATAGCACAAAAAATAACAAAATGTACAGGTGATCAAATGCCACCAAAAGAAAGCTCTATTTGTAAGAATAAAAGGACATACATTTAATTTGGGTGCAGCGTTGTATGACCGTGCAATTGACAGTTAAAGTACGCAACGTACCACAAAAAAATGGCCTGGTCAGGAAGGGGGGTAAATCCTCTGGAGGGCAAGTGGTTAAAAACCAGCTTACAGTCAAACAAAACACTGATAAAAATGCATCAAAAACACAATACTTACATTGTTGGTGTAGTTTCATTGAAGTCTTTTATACGAAAAAACACAATCTGTTGCACTCAGTCCCTGGCTCTTTCAAAAATCTGCGCTTGCTGAAAACGCACAGATGTGAAATAGATCTATAAGAAATCATGCTAAATGAACTGTAGTGCGTTTCTGCAAACTAGAAAATGCACTGAAGTGTGAACGAGGGTAAGAGTTGATTAGAGGTGCAAATACTCAGTCTTTTCAGATTTATGATTTTTTTTTTTTAGCAATAAAAGCTTATTAATTGTATATTTAATATCCTTGAATGGGCAGAGAATAGAATATTAAAAATAAAATTCAGAAAAATGAGACACACATGAGCAAACAGCATTGAAAATAACACATAAAACATGCAGAAAAAGCATGTTTATTGCTTCTGGGGATGGAAAAATGGCGGCGACATGTATGGCGACGGAGCGGGGATCTCTGGGAAGGCGCGCAGACAAGGCGCGCTGACCCATAATGCATTCATTCATGACATGTGATCGCATTAGCCAATCAGCAGCCAGCCAGCCAGCACTGTGTAATGGTGGAGCTATAAATTGCGGCCATTCTTACAATTCTCCATTAGCCTCCGGTCATTCAAGAGAGACAGACCTCGTCTGTAGTTATTAGGGACAGAGTTAGGGCCAGAGAGACTTTAGGGCCACAGATCGATTACTTAGGGACCAGAATCGTTTACTTCAGGGACACCAGAATCGTTACTACAGGGACAGCCAAGAGAAAATCGTTGAATTTAGGGCCACAGAATTTTTACTCAGTA